GGCAGGGGACACCCTGGACAGGTCGCCAGTCTATCGCAGGGCTACACATAGAGACAGACAACCAAGCACACTCACATTCACACCTATGGACAATTTAAAATTACCTATTAACCTCAACATGTTTTTGGACCTTGTGGGAGGAAGCTGGAGAACCCGGAGAGAACCCATGATGCACGGGGAGAACATGCAAACTCCACGCAGAAAGATCCTCACTGGGACGTGAACCGGCGACCTTCTAGGTGCTAACCACTGAGCCACCTTGCAGACTAACGCTAAAAATCTTAACTTATAATAATTACAGGCAAAGTATACACATATAGCAGTTCTATTTCTCGAGAAAAAAAGAAAAAAACATCTAGCTTTGACACTTAAGACAGTTTGTCTTAACTGTCTTATATATTATGGGATGATGATCCAAGCTGCTTGTGTGATATACATTCACAGAAATGGCTCCATCTGCTGCACAGTTTCTGTACAACACACGTAGCGTCTGAAATACCTGCAGTGATGCATTTTTCCTTCATTTGATATGGAAGCAAAGGCAAAAATTATGTTTAAAGCACTGAAATATTTTGCTTTATATGCTTAAACTTCCCCCCTGTGCAGCTGTTTGACACCCTCACCCACACTTCACCTCAATATCTGTTGCTGTTGTTGTGCTTTGTGCACTTAGCATCAAACAAATAAAATATAACAAACTCTTCTTTTGACAGTGCTACAAAAAGGCAAATGCACAGAGGAAAATCACAAAGAGAACTGAAATGCCAGTCACACCTACACATAAATAATTTTCATATATGTATGGAATCATACTATTATTAAAATGTAGATATAGGACTCCCATTAAGATTATGTCTTTTTGTTGTCATGTTTTTTTGTATTATGTTTGTTATTGTATTGTTCATAATGCTATTATCTATACATTTTCTTAAGCCAGTGTCCCTGTGTACATCTCTTTTGTCACCTTTTGTAACCTCTCTAACTACGCGTACCTTATTTTTGACAGTAAATCATACTGACGGGAACCAGATCAAAAATATACATGTACATTTAATCCCAATCACATGTAAAAATCAAACAATGCTGTTTCATTTCAGTTATGTAAATATAAGGTTAGGACCGTGAGTCAAACATTCACAAAGATAGAAAACAAAATCATAGGAAGCTCTTGTTCTGTTTGTCTAAATGTTCAAGTTTAAAAAAAAATAAAAAATTTAAAACAAAACTGCAAACATTACTAAATTTCTAAAAGAAACTTTGCTTTTACACAATGTGCCTTTTCATTTAAACCCATTTAAAAAAGTAAGAAGTTCCTTAAATTTAGGAAACATGTCATGTCCATGTTAATATGACACCAACACCGTCTGCATTTCATGAGACACTTAGATTTCTACAGTTGGTACCGATTATAATGTAGATGGTGCATAGCGCTGCATGTATTGATTGAAATTTGTATGCTGCGTTAGTTAGGCCAAGTGGAAATGAAATCTGCTGCATCTCTTTGTATGAGATCAATGTTTTTGTAGAGGTCTCTGACAAATACAGTGGATATGAAAAGTCTACACACCCCTGTTCAAATGCCAGGTTTTCGTGATGTAAAAAAATGACAGCAAGACAAATAATTTCACAGCTTTTTCCACCTTTAATGTGACCTATAACCTGTACAATGCAATTGAAAAACAAACTGAAACCTTTAAAGGGGAAAAATATAAAATAAAAAACTTAAAAGAACCTGCTTGCATAAATATGCACACCCTAAAACTAATACTTTGTTGCAGCACCTTTGGCTTTCATTACAGCACTAAGTTTTTTTGGGTAGGAGCCTATCAGCGTGGCACATCTTGGTGTGGCAATATTTGCCCACTCTTCTTTGCGAAACCGTTCCAAATCTAACAGATTGCGAGGGCATCTCCTGTGCACAGCCCTCTTCAGATCACCCCACAGATGTTCGATAGGATTCAGGTCTGGACTCTGGCTGGGCCATTCCAAAGCCTCAATCTTATTCTGGTGAAGCCATTCTTTGGTTGATTTAGATGTGTGCTTTGGGTCACTGTCGTGCTGAAAGATGAAGTTCCTCTTCATCTTCAGCTTTCTAACAGAAGGCCGAAGGTTTTGTGCCAACATTGACTAGTATTTGGAACTGTTCATAATTCCCTCTACCCTGACTAAGGCCCCAGTTCCAGCTGAAGAAAAAACAGCCCCAAAGCATGATGCTGCCACCAACATGCTTCACTGTAGGTATGGTGTTCTTTTGGTGATAAGCAGTGTTGTTTTTGCACCAAATATACCTCTCGGAATTATGTCCAAAAAGTTCAACCTTGGTTTCATCAAACCATAACACATTTTCCCACATGCATTTGGGAGATTTCAGATGTCTTTTTGCAAAATTAAGCCGGGCTTGGATGTTTTTCTTTGTAAGATTAGGCTTCCGTCTTGCCACCCTACCCCATAGCCCAGACAAATGAAGAAGACGGGAGATTGCTGTCACATGCACTACACGGCCGGTTCTTGCCAGAAATTCCTGCAGCTCCTTCAGTGTTGCTGTCGGCCTCTTGGCAACCTCCCTGACCAGTTTTCTTCTCGTTTTATCATCAATTTTGGAAGGACATCCTGTTCTTGGTAATGTCACTGTTGTGCCATATTTTCTCCACTTGATGATGACGGTCTTCACTGTGTTCCATGGTATATTCAATTCCTTGGAAATTCTTTTGTAGCCTTCACCTGACTGATATCTTTGAATAATGACGTCACTCTGATGCTTTGGAAGCTCTCTGTGGACCATGGCTTGCGCTGGAAGATGTGACTACAAAAATGTCAGCAAAAGCCTACTAGAACAGCTGAACTTTATTTGGGGTTGATCAGAGGAACTTTATTTGGTGACGGATGTGTGCTGACTCCAGTTTAACATGAGTTTGAATGTAACTGGTTAAATCTGAACACAGCCACATCCCCAGTTATAAAAGGGTGTGCACACTTATGCAACCACATTATCTCAGTTGTTTATTTTTCACTTTACCTCCCTGAAAGATTTCTGTTTGTTTTTCAGTTGTGTTGTACAGGTTACAAGTCACATTAAAGGTGGAAAATGTTGTGAAATTATTTATCTTGATGTAATTTTTTTTACATGACAAAAACCTGGCATTTGAACAGGGGTGTGTAGACTTTTTATATCCACTGTATATGCAATAAACTAAGGAAAAATGCAGTCATGACAAAACTCAACATATTTAAAATTGATATAATAGTCAACACGACAAATGTATATTGACATAAATCTGAATGAAATTCTGCTGAAAATTCCAATGAAAACATAATAAACTGTAAAAAAAAAAAAAAAAAAAAAAAGTAAGTCCCAGAAAGAACACGTACAGTCATCTGAAGACGTAACAGCAGCAGCTCTTTCAATCTAAATGTATACATGTCTCCCACATCTCTGTTCAGTGGAAATCTGGAAAGCAGAAGTCGGGTTTTAGCATTACAAATTATACTTTATCAGTGGTGAGTCAACAGCTGGCTCACCTCCTTCCTCTCTGTCTTTTCCTCTTCAGCAAATCATCCTCCAAATAAAGTTTCTTTCCAGTTTATTCACAAATTTTCCTCCTGCTGATTTTTTCAAAAAGCAACTGTTTCGCTTCTGATCGAAGGTTGTCAAAGCTGCATATTGAATGGATTCTTTCCACTGATCACATATCCTTCTTGAATAGTAGCTAAAACATTGGTCTTGAAACACAATTTATAATAGGCCTTAAAACATTAAATTAAAGGATAGTTTTGGGTCTTTTTTCTTAAGTGTCTATATAATAGCCGATCTGATCTAAGAACATATTTGCATCACTAAATCAAATTCAGACAGTTCATAAACAAATAAGCCAACAGTTCAACCAGATCCTCCAAACAAAATTAGAACTACTGTCAGTTACAATCATTCAGGTACAGCAGACATGAGGTCTTAAAGTCTGTTTTAAAACTGTGATGAATGTGGCTTTCTTAATTTTTTCGGTTGTTTTTGCAGAGTACACACAGAGAGTTTACAATATGAGCCTTTTGCACCCTTTTGTGGTTAGCAGTTTGGAAAACAGTTTGATTATTTTCTATTTAAATTATTTTTTGCTACTTTGGAGGTTTGTGTACAACCTCCTGAACAACATGTCAGTGTTTCTGAGAGTTTCTCCAGTCTGGTTTTTGATTAGAATATTCCATGCCCAATATTTATTTCAATTTAGAATATGTTAGTGTATGGGCTGATAGGTGACTCGGTGGTTAGCACCGTTGCCTCGCAGCTAGAAGATCTGCGATTCGTATCCTGGTGAGGACACCCGGGATCTTTCTGTGTGTAGTTTGCATGTTCTCCCCGTGCAGCATGGGTCCTCTCCGGGTTCTCTGGCTTCCAAAAACATGTTGAGGTTAATTGTTGATTCTAAATTGTCCGTAGGTGTGAGTGTGCTTGGTTGTCTGTCTCTAAGTGTAGCCCTGTGATAGACTGGCGACCTGTCCAGGGTGTCCAGTGCCTTCGCCCTAAGTCAGGTGGGATAGGCTCCAGCCCCCTCGTGACCCTAGTGAGGATTAAGCGGTGTATAGATAATGGATGGATGGATGTTACTGTATGCATTGTTTAAATGTTATATTTCCTTAATTTTAATTTGTTGGTCTTTTCTGGTTTTATGTTGTTTACTTTTACATTAATACTATTATTTAACCCTTTTTACAAAAATTGGTTTATTTTGAATCTTTCACCATTTTTATTTTTCGTGTGTGGTGTATACATAATGGATGGATGGATGGGTGTGCATTCTGTTGCTGTTTGTTATTATTAGCTTGTCAGTCACCTGCAATGAAGGTAACTATAGCTTTAAAAACAAACTGACTGATCCAGTGATTGATCGATCATTTGTTAGTCCCTTTAAAAACAGTTACAAACCACTGTTGCAAAAGAAAAAATCTATTTTCTGATGCTGCTATGGTTCAGTTTAAGCTCAAAATGACACAACATTTAAAAGTAGTATTTTTAACTGTCTTTATGAAACTTGGGTTCTGATATTTGGTTGACCCATCCATAGACCTCACACTATTTCCTCTTTTGTTCCTGACAAGATATATAATTCCTGCAGCTTCAGTTTGTAGATAAATGTCATGTTTGGACACATGCGAGTCTGAAATAACTGTTGTTTTTCTTGGTAGGATGGTCTCAACCATTGAGGTTTTTTTTAGTGATGAAGTTCCCAGAGTTTAGTAACAAATCTGGTGAGTACAGACTCAGTATTACTGATAAAATACAGCTACAAAAATAAGACTTGAATCTTAACAATTTGTCATTGGCAGCAGCATGAATGGTACAAGTCCATGTTTCAGCTCCGCTACACAATGTTTCTCTCGAGCATCGGTTCCTGGCTCAGTATCCGTCCGAAACTGAAGCTGCTCAAGTCCAGGGTTTTAAAGTTTCCATCCAGGATCAGTTCTGCCACAGCACGACCCACTGCGGGCGAATGCTGCAGGCCGTGACCACTGAAACCGGTGGCCAAGTACATGTTGTTGATGAGAGGGTGAACACCGATGATGCCGTTCTGGTCGAAGGTGTTGTAGTCGTAGAAACCCGCCCAGGCACTGGTCACCTGATGGGAGAAAGACGAGAACAAATTTTTTGATTTACACCACCATTTTACTGCTCAACTCTCATTGTTAAACTGATACTGCTTATTTTCTGTGATACATTTCCTCGTAAAAATATGAACAAAAATAACTCAATTATATATAAGAATACATAGGTATTATATACAAGTCTTTTTGACAGCTGTTGTCAGGTAACTGAACAAGTATGAAATAGTTATTCAACAGTGCAACCTGCTGGAATGTGGCGATAAATACCGTAATTTCCGGACTATAAGCAGCCACTTTTTTCACACCCTTTGAACACTGCGGCTTTAACAATGATATGGCTAATTTATGGATTTTTACGAGTTTTACGAATTTGCCTCGAGACAAAAGTGACATTGAGAGCGACAACGAAAGATAGACTGAGGAAGTGTGTGGCAAAGTATTTCTGAGGCTGTTCAATTCCGACACTGAAGAAGACAACTTTAGTGGTTTTAGTGTGCAGGAGGAAGATGAAGATAGCGATCAGTGATTTTTCCTGGTAGGCTACTGTTTTTTGTTTTTTTTTTAACCAGCTGTGTTACAGGCACTGTTTGGAAAAAAGCATTTACAGTACGTATTTATGTATGTTATCGGTATGTATTCAAATAAAAGTAAAAAAAAATCTTTCTGTGTAAATACACTCCTGATCAAAATCTTACCACAAGTTAAAAAATTGCATGAATTTGCATTTTGCACTGTTTGGTTCTTAGGAAGTTCTTTGAAGTAGAGCTTCAAAATGCAAAAAGAAGAAATGGCAACAAGAGACCAAAAGTTGTGAGCAGGCAACTTATTGAAAACAATTGAACTCAAATAGGCTGTTCATCAGCTGTTCATCAGCTGATCAAAAGTTTAAGAAAAAAAACCCAAAAACCTCCTAAAATAGAAATTAAAGTGTCAAAAACTGACTCAGTAATGAGCAGCTCCACCATTTTTGTTGATCACTTCAAAAAGTCGTTTTGGCATGCTTGATGCAAGTGTTTCCAAAAGGCTAGTGGGAATGTTGCTCCAAGTGGTGAAGATGGCTTCGCAAAGGGCATCTACTGTCTGGAACTGATGTCCATTTTTGTAAACTTCCGTTGCCATCCATCCCCAAATGTTCTCAATTGGATTAAGATCAAGGGACCACGCAGGATGGTCCAAAAGAGTGATGTTATTCTCCTGGAAGGTCTTGGTCAGACGGGCATTGTGAATTGGAGCGTTGTCCTGCTGAAAAACCCAGTCATTACCACACAGACGAGGGCCCTCAGTCATGAGGGATGCCCGCTGCAGCATCTCCACATAGCCAGCTGCTATTTGACGCCCCTGCACAACCTGGCGCTCTATTGTTCCACTGAAGGAAAGGACACCCCACATCATGATGGCACCCCCTCCACTGTGCCGCGTAGAAAACATCTCAGGTGGCATCTCCTTGTCATGCCAGTAACGTTGGAAGGTTATATTTTTTCTCGTCAGAGAATAAAACTTTCTTCCACCTTTGAATGTCCCATGTTTGGTGCTCCCTTGCAAAGTCCAAACGGACAATTTTGTGGCATTGAAGAAGACGTGGCCTTTGAAGACATGTCTTGTTTTTGAAGCCCTTCCTTCGCAGATGCCGTCTGATGGTTATTGGGCTGCAGTCAGCACCAATAATGGCCTTAATTTGGGACGAGGATCGTCTTGACAGACAGCCATTCGGATCCTCCGGCTTAACGCCGGTGAGATTTTTTTTGAGTCGACCACTTGATTTTTTTGTTCCACCCTGAGGATCTTTAACGAAATGCAAAATGACTGTCTTACTGCATCCAACCTCAGCAGAGATGGCACGTTGTGAGAGGCCTTGTTTATGCAGCTCAACAATCCTACCACATTCAAAGACGGTGAGCTTTTTTTGCCTTTGCCATCAAGTGATCTTCACTGTGTGAATACTTGACAGGAAATGACATGGAATCCAAAGTTTTGCACAGATTTTGGCTTTTAAAGGCTGTGGTCTTAAACTTTTGATCAGCTGATAAACAGCCTATTTGAATTAAATGGTTGTTTTCAATAAATTGCCTGCTCACAACTTTTGATCTTTTGTTCCCATTTCTTCTTTTTGCATTTTGAAGCTCTACTGAGAACCTTCCTAAGATTCAACAGTGCAAAATGCAAATTCATGCAATTGTTTAACTGGTCTTAAGATTTTGATCAGGAGTGTATCTCATGTTACAACATGGATACCTGGGGCTTATAGACAAGTGCAGCCTATATTTTAACAAAATTTGTTTTCTTTTTAAAGTTAGTGGGTGCGGCTTATATTCAGATTCAATAGTCCGGAAATTACGGTATGTGTATTTTATTGAGATGTCATCTGTCAAAATCTAAATAAATACTGCAGTCTGATCATCTATGTTTAAGCTTTATTTTAAAGAGTGATCACAGAGAATGCTTTACAAAGCTGTTTTGTTTTGGAAATTTAGGGGTTTTTTTTAGGTAAGAAAAACTCACTACGACAGAGGACTGAAATAGAAATAAAATGTGAATAATTCAATTTACTCAGCCTAATGTGGACGTGCTATAAATGAATATATGAAAATTGAAAACAACCATCAGTATTGGCTTTACTGGGAGACCTAAATGAACTTAACCAAACATACTAGTACAATTACACAGCAAAGTGTCTGAAATATACCTTCAGTTTTTCAAAAGCAGGAACTCGATGAGCCAACACAGGCCAAACCTTTTCCTCAAAAAACTGGTGGTCCACCTCTAGATTATTGGTATCTGGCTCCTCTGCCTGAGGACACGCAAAAGGAAGAATTACTCAGATCACCTCTTAAAATGCTAAATGTTAACACAGTTAACGGCTCAGAGATATAACAAACCTCCTCTGGCGACACTCCAGCGATGTAGTTTCCTCCTAAACCCTCTCTTCTGAAGTAAACTCCAGAATAATCGATCAAGAAGGGAGTGTCTAGACCCGGACCGTCGGGACAGTTGACCACGTACACATACCTGAAAAACAGTACAGATGTAAAGTTCTTACGTGCAGTATAATTTTTTAAAAACAAGATTATTTCTCAATACTGTTACAAAGTGTATCACAAAAAACACAATGAAACCACTCTAGGAAGACAAAATGTGAATAAGGCCATGGGACGTGACTTCTGAGGGTAATAAAAAGTATAAATATAAACATATATGTTACATGCCAGAGGGTTGGGTGTGTGTGTGTGTGTGTGTGCTCTGCCTCTCCTTCCCCTCTTTTTGTCTCATTACCAAGTGCTAATGACCTGAGTGGATTCACCTGGAAAGCTGACTTCCACCTGTCGAGCTGGCCAATCAGATGTGGTGTAATGCAGCATAAAAACCAGGCCCAGTGTCAGATCAGGAGAGCTGCTGTTGTGAGCGCATGGTGCTTTGTCTGAGAGATTCGTGTTTTGCTTATTAGAAACGTGGATGTACGTTTCTGTGGTGGTGAGGTTGGGATGTTCGGTAAGTTGGGTACCCTACATTTTCAGCACGTACGAAATTTTTGTTATGCACACTGGTTGGTGCCACCTATGTATTTATTGCAAAGTTTGGTTTGTGGAAAAGTTACTTAGGTTTTTTGTTTGGGTTTGTTTTGTTATATAAGAAGAGTTAGTCAGACCTTGCTTGGTTTTCTTATTTTCGATTGTTTGGCACCACCACCTTGTCCCATTCCTCCCACCTCCTTTTGTGAACCTTTGTCCACCCTTTTTTGTTGGAGCACTGTTGAAATAAAACTTGAATTTTGTTTGCACCTCACAATGACTCCCGCATTTCTTTTGGTTAACGTGTTGCTTTCCTCTTGTTAAGAGGGGACGTAACAATATATCACACACCTCCCAAACTTCACAAAGAGAAAAAGATTTAAGAGAAGCTTAGTGGGTCTGAGTTCAGTGGGCGGACAGCTCTATAGCATTGATGGGCTTTAAGAGCGAAAGCCTGGGCTGCCGCTTTAGCTCACCTGGTTGAGCTGGTGACCCATGTTCAGGAGCTATAGTCTCCGATGCAGCAGCCATGGGTTCGAATCCCGCTCATGGCCCTTTGCTGCAACCCCTTCCCCCATTCTCCTCCCCTACTTTCCCGTCTCTGCTTTCACTGTCCTATGTAATAAAGTCCAAAAAAAAAAAAAAGAACGAAAGCCTGATCACCTTCACCTTGCCAGCTCCACAAGTATACTCTTGTCAGGTGTACTTTCAGACGGCCGGTAACTTGTTTCACTCAACATTTGAGTGACTTTATCTTTGATAAGGAGTTTTTTGGCATGAAAACGGTCAGACTTTAAGGGATTTACTCTTGTCTGGGTGGAAAAGCTTCTATAATGGATCATCCCGAGAGCTCAGAAGTCTCCATTTCAGTCCGTCTAATAAAATGTTTTTTTTTCCTGCGACGGTTTGGCAGCTCTGTGAGGCAGTGATGGTTTTACAGAGAGGCTGAGGCTGGTTTGGTGAAAAAAAGAAATCTGTCAAAAGAGCAATACTGTGTTTTTATATCTGCCTGATTTACTGATCAACTGCTGGGTTGTTGTTCAAGCAAGTAAGCATACAGTTGTCCTCAAATGTATTCATATCCATTAAAGAAAAGGCAAAATTCACAATAGTCACTCAAATAACTAGAAACTGAAAAAAAAGTAATAAAAATTTGCTAGATTAAAATTTAGTGAAATAAGACATTGATTTTGAATTGTGGTTGATAAGAATAATTAAAGCAAACAAAACTAAAAACTGTCCCGGACAAATTAGAGCACTTTGCTGATGAGCAGTGGGCCAAAATCAAAATACCTGTCAACAGGTGCAGAAGTCTGATAGTTACAGAAAATACTTGACCGCAGTGATTGCCTCAAAGGGCTGTTCAACAAAATATTAATTTACGGGTCCCATCATGCTTGTTTTTTTTTTTTTTGTTTTTTTTTTAATACTTCTGTTGAACCACAATTCAAAAGCAATGTGATGATTTTCATTACATTTTTATTATTACTTTTGTCAATTTCAACTGATTTCCGTGACACCTGGTTTTTCCTTCTTTAATGGGAGGGTATAAATAAATTTGAGGACGAATACATAAACATAAATGCATCTTAAATAATGACTAATCTTTGATGTATATCATTGAAAAGTTTTTATCAGTTATTCTAACAAAATAAACTGTAGTGATGAGCATTTTTTGACTACTTTTAGGTATCAATAAATTGTACACAACTTGCAGCACGATCCGCAACCCTTCAGTCCTAAAAAATCTGAGGCAGACATCAAGTGCTGTCTGTTTGGATGTTGAGATGTTTGTCACTGTAAATTTTAAACAGTAACTGTCGGGTGGTTGAGTTTCAAATTTACAGTGACAAACATCTCAACATCCAAACAGACAGCACTTTATGTCTGCCTCAGACCACAGTTTTCACAGAGCTCATGGGATGTGGAAGGAAACGCCCTCTTATTAACCCTGCAGAGCACCACTCTCAGTTTTGTTTGCGGCCTGAAGACTTGGGCTACAGGTTTGAAGAAAAATAGGAACAATGTTCTAATATACAGCAGTCTAATATTCAGACAGCCTGTATGAAGAGATACCAGTTACTGCATCGTATCTCACGGTGCTGAATTTATACAATTTTTATGTAGTAAAAAATCTGAGGCAGCAGTCAAACGAAAAAAGTCCTCAGATGGGAGAAGCTGCAGTATGAAGGCAGTTTTCCATTTTCTGGAGTACAGAGTCTGAATAAAGCTGTCAGGATACTAATGAACTGCACTGTATGAGGCGCCACCTTTCAAAGAAAACCCTGACAGGACTCAGGGTGCTGTTTTTTTTTTTTTTGGGGGGGGGGGTTCTTCAAAGGGAAAATATGCCACTCGAGTCAATGGCCCACCTTTTCCGAGGCTCAACAGGCAGTGGAATTCCAGCGATGGAGTCCTTGGGGCCAGAGCCAATTCCCAGCATCTTGGTCAGTTTACCAGAAAAGGCTCCTGCTGCATTTACCACAATAGAACATTCCACCGGCTGGTACTCCAGGCTGTTCAGCATCTGCACCTGCTCCACACAAACCGTGATCCCATCAGGCACAAAACCACACTGTTCCTGTAGCAGTGCATCAAATGTGCCAAAACTCCCTCAAATTTCTCTTTCTTACTAACAAAAATTACAAAGTAAGGAGTTTTAGGTGTGAATTTAATGTTTTCTTGTCATTGTTTACAACTAAAACACACAAAATGCTGATCAAATGTGCCTCTTTTTCATCAGCATTGATCAGCCCTTTTTCGAAAATGAGAAAAGATGAAAGAAATCTAGTTCTCAAAGGCTTAATCTGAATTTCTGAAAATATCAGAGCTGAAGCAATTCATAATTTCAGATAAAACATTGCTTATTAAAGTCATTAATGAAGCAAAAATTGGCAAACATTCTCTGGTTTTAGCTTCTCATGTTCAAAAATTTAGTGCTTCTAGTGTATGTCCTCAGAAACTGAGCATTTACAGTTAGTCCAACAAAAACAATTAACTTGATGAGCACTTTTCAACATCTTCTGACATTTTACAAGCTGAACAACTTAACATCAACTTATTGAAAAAAACAATCCACTGATTAATTATCGTTGAATATATATTAGTTCTTTGAGGGGAAAAGCAAATTTGAGGTCAAGCTGCTTAAAGAGTGATTCTGCCAAACAGAGCTCTACCCCTTTGATAAATAGCTAAACTGTGGCTTTATCTCACAATATGATGCCCGGATTGATGGTAATTTTGTCTCATGTGAACTGATGTCAAACAGTTTGGCATTCCTGCTAAACACTTTTATGGATGTTCGCAGCATAGTTTTATGTTTTATGGCAGCTCATTGTGCCTCCTTCGCCACCCGTCCTCCTTGATTTTGTGCTCGAGCGTAAAAAAAGATATATAGCAAGACATAACAATGTAGGAACCACTCAGTACCAATAATCAGGCAGTGCTGGATGCTTAAAATGGGAGGAGGCTGCTGGAGATGAAATTCCAGATGATATGTGGCGCAAAGTATCTGGAAGAACACGCACGTCATTAATTTGTTGTAATTATTCAGTTCAAAGATCCCAGTTTCCTAGATTGTTTAGATTTTCTCCAAATTTATCGTACATTTCTGAAAAATCAACTGTTCCATGAATACTAAGAATTTTACCTGAAGGGCCTAATGTGAGCTTATGTGTTAACTCTTTGCCAGAAAGCTTCTTCTCATATAAATGTAGACGATGGATCAGAGCAGCATCTTAAAGCTTTTATTCTGTGCAAGTTTTGTAGAAAATATGGCAGCTGGGAACACTGACTGAATGGGTAGGGTGGCTTGTTTTTTTGTATAGTGTTGGTTCTTTTGTCCTTGTTTATACATAATATCATCGTTGATAGTTTTGTTACTGTTGCCCACAACATTTTTAAAAATATTTTATCTCATATTTTATTCTTAACACCTGTTCAATGTACCACTGTAAATATATCTGAATCTCTGGTCAAATGACAGAGGATGTCACAGATTTAAAGCTCTCTTTTTGGCGATACAAATAGTACTTACCGACTTAACAGATGCTTAATGTACCTGTAGATCATTATATTTTTCTAATTTTGGCACTTTTATTTACACTTCACATGAAATCAGACAACTGGACAGATTCTCCTTTGAAAAAACAGCTTTGTAATGTTGGTTTTCTAACCATGTTACATATTAATCAGAGACAGCACTGATTTGGCGATTATATAAAATGTCAAGAAATCCTTAAACAAAACAAACAAAAAAAGAGCTCAGTAACCCTGATTTACACAATTTTTAACAATCACAGATCTTTAATATTCAGAGTTTCACTTACTTTGACATAATTGATTCTCTTCACAGCCATGATTTCATCAGAATCACTTCTTAGCATTTTTGTTGTACATTTCAAATCTGTGGAAGAGAAACACATTAATACCAATTTTTTATTGACCTTCTATGCAAAATTGAAAAACACACAGTTGCAAATCAAGTAAATAACTTAAAATCTGCCAGAAAATAGATAGCAGTTATTTACTTCAAAGGTGATGTCGCTGGCTCGATATCAGTACGTCCTGGATCTAAATTTATGAAACTTCTCACAGGGAATGTCAGTATAAGTAAAAATATTTAATGTTTATTCTTATTAATCACATTTCCTATGATTCAAAAATGCTCTCAAGTGGGTTAATGGTAGAAACCAGATGTTTTCAAGCAACTATACAAACTAACTATTCACTGAAACAGTATATATAAATCAGAATAGTGTCATTTTGGCCGAATATTTGCATTTTGATTTGAGCATCTGACAAGTTGAAACACCCTTTTCTTCTCTTTATTTCTGTATTATGTTACCTGAGTGTAAACAGCAATAAAATACTGTAGCTAGCATTGATTTTGACTATACTGTAGTTTCAGCCAAAAGCAGAATTCATTCTCTTCTCCTGCTTATGGGTTTTTTTGATTCTGTTTCAACCAATTTCCCATTACTTCGTCCTTATTTTTGTGACAAATATATTCGATTTTTGTTAATTTGACATGTTATTGGCTACCAGAGACAGGACTAGGATTTCACAAATAAAATAAACTTTTCAACTTGTTTTTTAGAATAATGTTGGTAGCAAGATGTTCTGTTTAAACTTAAAAATTGGAGTAGTTCAGAGGCCCATTCTTGGCTTTTTGGTTAAAATATTTAACTGCAGTGTTTTTGTGTCAGCAAGCCTCAACAAACCTGTAACTTCTCCATGGCATGGAATGACTCCCATAGAGATGGCTTTCCTCTTGAAGGCGTTCAGCAGAGTCCAGGGGTCGAACCAGCCCTCGTTCTCCAGCCCTGAACAGCAGGACAAGTACTCAAACATACACATCAGGACAAGACTAGCTGCTAGATCTAGGAACAAGATCAAAACAGTCACAAAAATAACTGACAAAAGCACAAAAAATTTAAATGAAAAGTGACTGATATAGCTTTACACTGAGATTGGTTACAGTTACTACTACTGACCTCTAGGGCAGCATTACTTTGCAACAATTTCGGTAGGTGATTAATATTTTGAGTCATTTTTTATTGGAAAAATGCTCAAAGTACATGTCTACCAGTACATGTTCATTTGTTTTTCTACCTTTTTACAACAATAATCTTAATACTGACAAGTTTTTGATTTTCGTCCAACAAGAAAAACAATTTAAATTTCTAAGCTTGAGCTTTAGGGAATAATGATGCACTTTCTTCACTTTTATTCAAATTATCAAGCAGTTATTGGAAAAAAATAACTGTAAAGGTAAAGATTAGCAATATATTTGCTGGTTGCAGTCTCACAGTACTCATAACGGAGGTTTTTTGTTAGTTAATTGTTTTAGTATTTGATAGGTGCATCTTTTTCTGAATTGCATAGTGGATTGTGCAAATAGTCCAAGGAGACAAGTTAAGAGGTCGACTTTATGTTTAACCTGTTGTAGAAGCATCCCGAAAATTGTCTGGCAAACCTCATCTCTAGCTGTGATCATAACTCAGCTTAAAGACACCGCAAAGAAGGTGTGCGATGAGAAGAGGAATGTGATTGTAAGAAAAGTAAACAGCAGCAGACACAGCATTGTAGTGAACTAAAACACTTATCCATGGTAGAAGTCGCCGAGGTAGTTAAGAAGCTCCTCGGTGGCAAAGCGCCAGGTGTGGATGAGATTTGCCCAGAGATGCTGAAGGCTCTGGACATTGTTGGACTGTCATGGCTGACACATCTCTTCAGTGTCGCGCGGGCATCAGCAGTAATGTGGGCGTTGTACCGGACTGTGCTGGTGAAGTGAGAGCTGAGCCGCAAGGCGAAGCTCTTGATTTACCAGTCCATCTACGTCCCAACCCTCACCTATGGTCACGAGCTTTGGGTCGTGATTGAAAGAACGAGATCGCGGATACAAGCGGCTGAAATGAGCTTCCTCCGCAGGGTGGCTGGGCTCAGCCTTAGAGATAGGGTGAGGAGCTCCGACATCCGACATCCGAAGGGAGTAAAGCCGCTGCTCCTTCGCGTCGAAAGGAGCCAGTTGAGGTGGCATGGACATCTGATTCGGATGCCTCCGGAGAGGCTTCCTCTGGAGGTCTTCTGAACATGTCCACCTGGGAGGAGACCCCGGGGCAGAGCCAGAACCCACTGGAGGGATTATATCTCTTGGCTGGCCTGGGAACGCCTTGGGATCCCCCAGGAAGAGCTGGAAAGCATCGCTGGGGGGAGGGAAGTCTGGAATGACCTGCTCTGCCTACTGCCCCCGCAACCTGACCCCAGATAAGCGGAAGAAAATGGATGGATGGATGGATGGATGGATGGCCTTGTGTTCACTACACTTGTGTTGTAAACTCAACTCACCCCTTTTAGACATTAACTCCTTTCTGTTAATCTGACTGGAACTGAATGTGTCGGCTGCACTCCTGAATGAGTAGCCTGTTTGTTTTTCTGTCAAAGTTGCGCTGGTAATCTTTTACTTCCAATGCAATTATTAACTTCACGCACAAGCAGTGGTACTTGGATTTGTGAGAAGTGATTTGAGGAAGCGAGGTTTAAACAACGAGCCTCAGACAGGTGAACTGTCACACAGTCATAGTTTAGTTTCTTGCTCCCGGAGTTTATTAAATACTTGCAGCATCCGGATCCAGAGCTGCATTTATGCAAAAAAAAAACAAAAAAACAACTGCGTCATTAGTTAGTTATATATTATCCACAACATGGAGACAGGATCAATGAGGATCCAACAGTAGCTGTGTGTATATTTCCTTCACCTCAGACAGGTGATTTGTTTCGCAGAGTCACAGTTTATCAGCTGCAGGTAATTATTTAGTTTTAAAGCAGCTGTTCTCAGCTTGAATCCTGAGCTCTGTCTCAGCTGTCAGGATAGTTTCTTTTATTAGTAGTTCCATTATTATCACATATGGACAGAATTTTCAGTGTTTATGAAATCATAAATAAACTGGACAGTTAGTTGTTTGGATATTTCTTCCATTTATAATCTGTAATTTCATTATTGCTGCATACTGTTGCTCTTTCTGGCTGTGAGGTGTGCATGTCTGCATTAAAACATGAGAAACATTAGGCCAGACATGGTAAAGATCCCAAGTCTGAAAAGGGTTGTATGAGCTGAATAAAAGCTCTAGTTCCTGATATATCAGCCTGCATTCGCACATATCAGCGGCAGTATCTTATTATCAGTCTATGTTCTATTTGCACTCACCATATGAAGCCAGCACTACCCCGTCTGTGTTTATCCACGGAAATTTCTGCTTCAGCTGTGTCGGGGAGAGAAGAGAAACGTGGGCTCCGGCATTCCTGGAATCACATAATTAGATAACTGAGCTGCAAGAGAGAATTTTCCTGCAAGAATTTCTAAATAAAGGAGCTGGCTTCTAGCTTTCTGCCGTTGTCTGAATGCAAAGTGAGAGACACCTCTGGGTGATGTAGTTTTCTTCCATGATTTGAGCCCCTTGCTCACTTGCCAGGAAGAGGTATCCTGATTGGTTGAACTGCAGGTCCACTGGGTCTTCGTTCATCACGCCAAGATAATCCTGATGGGACACAGAGGCATGACAACTTGAGGACATTTCTACACCAACAACATGCACAAAGTTAGAGAACACAATACAGAAACTTCATGCAGCCTTCAGAAAACACACAAAAACAGTATGAACTCTATAAAAAACATGTTTGCCTGAGTTGGTTCTGCAGGAGAGACCAGAGGGACATTAAAGGAACAGCTTAACATGTGATTGGAAGCCTAATACCATTTCTGTTACAGCCTGTTCTTTAACTTACTTTGCACTGTTCCACCTTAACAGAATTTTTTAAAAAACCACAACACTGTGATTCTGCAGCCTTCGTTTAGCTGACTTATTCTTACTTTAAATGACATGCAAACATTTCTAAGTCTTTCATGAGGTCAGAGATTCTCCCGACGCATCATTCTACATGTTTTTCTTTATATTTGCTGAAGAAACTGATCCTCACACTTTGCACTTGCTATAGCCGATATAGATCTCTTTAATTCCAATAAATAATTGCTCAGATTATTATTATATTGACATTAATTTACAAGGCTTAAGAAAAGATTAACATCACCTCAATAAATCAGTTAGTTCATTATGTTCATTGTATATTTTGCAATCAACACAGAAAAATGGCTCTGAAAACTCTCATAACTGTCCCATAAATATAAAGTTACAGCCAGCAACTGGTCAGTTTAGCTTATTAGTAAAGACAGCAGGAAGTTACAGATCCCAGCCAAGAAATACTCAACCACATAGCAAACAGTGAAATAGCAAACTGTTTCTCCATATTTTCAAGTCTTTGCGCAAAGGTAACCAATTACTGGCTTTCCCGGGGCTTGAGAATATTTAAAATTAAAAGCGTTTATTCCTTCAGGAGCAGACTCCTAATATGCGTGGGAGGCTTCCATTTAGGCCTCAAGGTGGCGCCACATTTAAGCAAATCATTGTCTTAGGTTTCGATATAATTTGCACCAAAACATTAACAATTAACAAACAATGAATTATCAAATATCTGGCCAGAAATGTATAGAAACTGCATTATTATCTTTAAAAACAACTCATCTCTGTGTATCAAAGTTATTTTTTAATCAATATAATCGTGACGCCTTAAAATCTACTTCTTTGTTTCCTCACTTCACTTACAGCAGCTCGAGCACATCAGCTCACCTACGACTGCTCCAACTCTGCAAAACCACATGATGTTACACAGTTGGAAGTTGTAATTTCAGAGTAATTCAGCCAAACATGTTTGAAACTGATTCAAAGTAGATTAATGATAGAGAAAGTCTCAGCCTGTAAGTCGTCAGGATGAATATTTGTTATGTCTGAAACCCCTGAAGCCTGAATATGCTGCAGTTTTCTTTGGTCACAATATGTCTTCTTGCATTTAAAAGAAAACACATGGACATGTTAAGAAGGTTAAAAACATGATTTTTACCAGAGGGGCTTTTTAGGGTCTTAATGTGAAACATCAGCATATTAATAAAACTTTGGAGCTCACAATTTATTTTTGTCTTCTGAGTAACTTGTTTTGAATCTTTACAGCCACTGCAAGGACGGCATGTATCTCACTCTGCAGAATCAAGCTTACATCTACTAGAGAGCTGAGTATAATTACTGCATAAATAAAGACAGTAGTGAGTGAAGATTAGTTAATGCCATGTCTTGCACTCTAGTCAACAGATATCAAGTTCTGCTGCGACCAATATTGTTAGTAACTTCAGCTGATGTACAAGCTGAATATAGAACATCCTCTGTCACATTTAATGATTTAAAGGCTTGTCATTCATTTCCAGTGTGCAGCAAGAAAAGAAACAGCAGCAACACTTGAGCTTGACCTACATTAATCTTCCTCATGAAGTTTACGGAGGCCAGAGACAAGTGGATGTTCTCCGGCAGGGAGAACTGCTGTCGGATCCCCCCGGCAGACAGAACCGTGGAGGACTGGGAGTACTGCAGACAGTCACATGCGGAGGGAGGGAGATAATAAGTTTGTAAAATAACAGCCCTGCAGGTGTTTAGAATAGTAGGCACACTGTAATAAATTAGCAAGAAAACAGTGAAAATCTGGCAGCAATGGTGGCAAACAACATACGCTGACAAACAGTAGAATACTGTGATGAATAACAGCAACCTGTAAAATGTTTCTGTTTTTGGCTGATTAATATACTGCAGCACTGTGTAGTTTTATGGTCACACTGTAAAAATCAAATTACCATTTATAAAAATGCAGATTTTTAACACGGACAATATTTATTTTGGCCCAATTGTTTTCTTTTTTTTTTTTTTAACATGTAAATTAATACTTTTTTTCTGTGATTTTACTAGATACTATTTTTTTTTTTTTTTTTTTAACATGTAAATTAATACTTTTTTTCTGTGATTTTACTAGATACTACGTATACTTTAACAAAACAGAGAAAATTTTAAAAATAATAGTTGTGATTGACCTTTTAACAGTCTTTTTTTTTTTAGCTGATAAAAAACCCAGCAAAACAGGGCAACTTTACAGTCACACATTGTAAAAGAGAACATTACCATCTGTAAAAATACAGATTTTTATGTGGCATTAATACAATTCTACATAGATTGTTTTGACTATTTTTCAGTTATTATAATAAAAAAGGGAACATCTGCAAAGTAATACTCTTTATTATATTTATTATTATTGACCATTTTTCAACCCTTAATTCGAGAGATTTAGCATTTTTCTTTCAAATAACAGAAAATATCTATATGATAATGACAATTCTTGCTGATTTACTTAAATATAAAAGCATTTTTCACAGATTTTTGATGTGGATGCTACTTACAGTTTGGTCCTGTTTTTTTATGGTTATGGTGAAAATTTGTATTTTTTTTCTGATTGTATTGATAACATCTTTTTTTTTTTTTAAATAAACTTTACTATTTTTCAATCTTTAATGCACATAGTTCTTTCAAATAACTGGCAAAGATCTGTAAAATATGAAAAAATTTAAAATATTTGCTGACTTAAACAGTGAAAATAGTGCAATTTTACTTTGATTTTGCTAGTTATCTGTAATTGAAAAAATGGAGAGAAGCTGTAAAATAACATTAAATTGTTCAAATATACAGTTAAAAACTGTTAAAACACGCTCAAATAGAATTTTTTTTATATGTAAGAAATATGCTAAGGAGGCAGAGCCTGAAGACTCGGGGGTTTCTGCATCCATATCCATGGTAGAAGTCGCCAAGGTAGTTAAGAAGCTCCTTGGTGGCAAAGCACCAGGTGTAGACGAGATTTTCCCAGAGATGCTGAAGGCTCTGGACATTGTTGGACTGTCATGGCTGATACATCTCTTCAATGTTGCGTGGGCATCGGGTACGGTGCCTGTGGAGTGGCAGACCGGGGTGGTGGTTCCCATTTTCAAAAAGGGGGACCGGAGAGTGTGTTCCAATTATCGGGGCATCACACTTCTCAGCCTCCCTGGGAAAGTTTCCTCTAGGGTGCTGGTAAGGAGGCTCCGAAGGGAGTAAAGCCGCTGCTCCTTCGCATCGAAAGGAGCCAGTTGAGGTGGTATGGACATCTGATTCGGATGCCTCCGGAGAGGCTTCCTCTGGATGTCTTCCAAACACCTCCACCTGGGAGGAGACCCCGGGGCAGAGCCAGAACCCACTGGAGGGATTATATCTCTTGGCTGGCCTGGGAACGCCTTGGGATCCCCCAGGAAGAGCTGGAAAGCATCGCCGGGGGAAGGGAAGTCTGGAATGACCTGCTCCCCTACTGTCCCTGCGACTCGACCCCGGATAAGCGGGAGATAATTAATGGATGGATGGATGGATGGATGGATGAAAATATGATAGAACTTTTATACCAGTTAGAGTACGTTTTTACACTAAAATCTGTTTTTCTTGATATTCTAGAAACATTTTGTCTGTCGTGGTGTAAATTCTACATCATTAACTCTGGTGTCCTCACCATTGGATCTTTCTCTACAACAAGGATTCTCGCCCCTTCTCGGATCATCTCCTTCTGTTTCAGCCAGTAGGCGATGGACCAGCCCACCACACCGCCTCCAATGATCACGATGTCGACTCTCGCCGGGGGAAGGTTGGGGCTAACGAGCAGAGGAGTCCAGCTGCTCCCGGGCAAAGCGTCCGAAGCCTTCTTCCTGAAGCCTGCCAGCTGGGCCTTCAGGTCTAAGCCACAAAATCACACATTTTACACTGCTTCATCTCTCTTCTACACACGTTGACTCTCAGCTTAAAAGTCAGGATGTTTTCTAAAACTTTAGCTACCACTCTTCAATTCGGCGTATAAAGTTATTCACTGATTTAAAACATTTCCATGCAATTTAGCGTGGAAGTTGACCAAAGTTGAATCTTCCACTAACTCACAGGGGAGCTTTAGTGTAAAAAGCGACTGTAAACGTTGTTATTGAAGAGATTAAAGAGAGATGAGATGCATGCCGAATTGTTGACAGACGTCTACCAGTTTTATTAAACGTTTTAGCTGGGTCACACAAGTTGCACACCTTTAAGTACAGACAAATCATTTAATAATTTAAGTATTAAGTAATGTAAATCTGGCTTGTTGACGCGTCCCTGCACGTCTCGGTCACTCCTTTAGATGTCCCCCACCTTTAAAGTATTTATTCTGGAGAGGTGATCCTGTGCTCAGGCTTCGGCACAGCGTCAAGGGTCCATACTGGCGTGCGTGTCTCCGTGTCAGCTGAATGGAGGCGAAAAAACCCGGAGCCGTCCGCAGCTTCACCTGCAACCGCCGCCACGCCGACATCGCTGCTAACGAGCTAGCCGAGATAGCTTAGCGGCTAATAGACAGCGTGCAAACCAAAACAAGAGCAGCGAGGACAAACTTTCACGTCTCCATTTAAGAAACGTGAAACGTAGTCTGCAAAGTGACAGCGAGGTCAAAGAGAAACTCAGTCAAGGTAAATACAAACACTCAGAACGACCGGTTGAACGGTGCTTCCCTTCAAAATACACGTACAAATCAGGACGCGTCATATGCTGGTCTGATGAAACTTAGGTTCTGATTTAGGATTTTTTTTTATCAGCTTTATATATATCAGGACTGAAGTTAACAGTGTTTCTCAATTAACTAATGTTTTTTTTTTTTTTTAAACGCAGTGATATAAACAGTAAGGCAGCAAATTCTGACTTAAACAATTATTGTGTTATTAAAATTGTCCATATAATAACAACAATAATATTAATTATTTTTAAAAAGTATGATGATGATGATGATGATGATGATGATGATATCGTCAGTTCCAGTGTCTTAGAGTGCTATTATTAATAACTTGACTATGGGGCTGGTAATGGAGGTTGGGGTGGGGGGGTTGTTTGTATTATTTTATTGTATTTTTTTCTTCTTCTGTAAAGCGATTGTGTTGCATTTTTATTTGTATTAAAAGTGATATAAAAATAAAGTCTAATTGATTGATTGATAATTTTATTAGCATCGGACCTTTCAAACACAAAGCTGCAAAGTGCTTTACAATAAATAAGATTTCAACTTAGATAAATACTGAACTCAAAGCCTATGTTTCTTATTTTAGACAACAGCCTTGATTTCCAGTGTAAAAAAAAAAAAAGAAAAAAAAAGGCTTTTTATTTACATTTGTTAGGTCCTGAAAGTACTGAGCTTCTACTTTAGGGCCTGCATTTTAATATAGTCTTTTTAAAGTATTTATCTTAGTTCATAAACTGAAATGCTCAGATTAGCTCAGTTCAAATATTGAGAGGTGGCTTTGAACCATTTGACCTTAATGTGATATCTGATATATGTGATAACTATATATCTATTGGAAATACAGACTGAGCCTAAGATCATCTTTGTCCTTTCTTCATTTTGGAGAAAATATAGAGAATTTTTTTTCCTTTTTGTGGTCATATTTTTTTCAGTTTTGGTTCCTCTTGACAACTGCATTGTACAAAGAGTAGTCCTGTGTATTTAGGAATACACCTTAATGTGTGGAATTGCATGCATAGACCTTGTAAATATGGGCAACACTGTAAATAAATCGAGGGTTTATAGTTTTTGCTTAATCTGAGGTTATGTATTTATAAATACAATACAAAGTTGTTGTTTAAAAAAAAAACAACAAAAAAAAAAACTAAGCCAAGGTTTTCAAAGATGTATTTCTTCTATAAATGTTTTGCAGATATACATGGATATACCAAGTATGTTTTGTAATCACACATACATCACATGTTGGATGTGGCAACTTGCTTCGTTGTGTAATTATTACTTTACAAGTACTCTAATTTTATTTTGAAAAGTACTCGGGAAGCAGTAGTTACCTTTTTGCAGACATGACCTCTTTAAAAGCAGAGGCTGTGGCTCGTCATGTGACCGAAGAGGACCAATCAGAGAGCAGGAACGAGCCAGTGGCTATTTTATATGCAGTTTGTGACCACAACACATTCCTACATTTTTATTGGCTGCAATACCAATAGTCAGTTAGTATTTAATATTAAAGAGTTTGTTTGTATGTAATAATATTACAATTAACCTTTTTTATGCAATACTACATATTACAAAAGTTTGCAAGTCTAATGTCAATGTATTGTTCAAGACCCTAAAATATTATGTATTATATAACATAGATGACTAAGTATTGTTGTTAAGACCCTACAATATTTTTCATTGTATATTAGTCAACAGAAAATTAAGCTAATTCAATTATTTTCAAATGAAGTAATCTTAATTTGTCATATTTTTAAAGAAAAAATGCCAAACAGTTCCTAGTTGTTGCATCTTTAATGAGTGGAATTTAAAGCTCTTCTGTCAAACACGATAGTAAATTGAAAGTTGTTGAATTTGATTTGAGTTTATTAAATTATTTCGAGTATTAAAAAAACACACAAAAACCTTTATTGGCATTTAAAATGTATATACAGTATTTAGATAATTAGCTTAGGTGATTAGTTAGCAAGGTGGCGCAGTTGGTAGCACTGTTGCCTCGCAGCAAGAAGGTTGCCTGTTCGCGTCCCGGTGTCACCGGAATCTTTCTGTGTTTGCATGTTCTCCCCGTGCAGCGTGGGTTCTCTCCGGCTTCCTCCCACACAGTCCAACAACATGTTGAGGTTAATTCTAAATTGTCCGTAGGTGTGAAAGTGAGTGTGCTTGGTTGTCTGTCTCTAAGTGTGTCCCTGCGATAAACTGGTGACCTGTCCAGGGTGTCCCCTGCCTTCGCCCTAAGTCAGCTGGGATAGGCTCCAGCCCCCCGCGACCCTAATGAGGATTAAGCGGCGGTGTATAGATGGATAATAGTGTTAGAGAATAATTGGCAGATTTTTGTACAACTGATTTTTTTTTTTTTAAAATATAGTAACAATAATAATAACAATAATAATAACAGATGCTTTCAATGTTAAATTATAAGTAACAATGGTATAATGTTTGCCTTGTTGTTACTCGCAAATTACTATTTCAGTTGTAAGATATTAACATTGCCTTTGTTCCAGTCTGTGGCTTGAGCAGCCTTTTATTTTGAAGAGTGCGCTGGGCTGGGTGTTTTATTATGAAGAGCGGCAGGAAGTGTGGGTGTGTTGTTGAGTGCTGCTTAACTACTGTGTTTTCTGTTCCCTGCGGCCACAGTGTTTTCAACGGGACTCAACTTACTACTTGCTGGACTTGATGGCCGCTTGACACAGGCTCAAATATTCCCCTCCCGTTATCCTTCGTTGGATACACTTGCAGAAAGTTTTCCAAACAAACTTTCGCCTTCTTTCGTGTTGATTTTATGTCCAGAAACGAGGATGCAGCCGCCGCCGAGAAAGGTGAGTTTTTTTCCCCCCGTTGTAGCCTCCGAAGCTAACGTTACTTCGACGAACTGGTGCATATTTAATGGTTGGAAATTTACGCTTTTGTTGCTGTTCGCCTGCTTTAAACGGTCAACTGCGTGTTTTATTCTGCGAATGTACCATAGTTAGTTATTGTAGAAGTTGAATTTGCGTCTTTAAATTGCAGCAAAGTGGGAAAACTTGTTTTTTTTTTTTTAGAAAGTCCCATGTGCCAGAGTTTTTTTTTTTTTTTTTTAGGGAGAATAGCCCGTTAACGTGCCCCGTTCCCTCTCGAGCGGGTCCTGTGAAAGACGTTCAAATGTCACAACAAAAATAGATTTCTTCATCGACAAAGTGCCCGCAGCTTTGAAACCACTTACATAAGTTAAAGAAATACCGTTACCGAGGTGTTGCGTTACACTAGTGATCCACCAAGCAACACTTATGTTTAAGTAAATATCACTTTGCTTCACCCTGGTCCGGCTTCAAGCTTAGTTTGGGGGGAGCAAAAGTATGAAATAGCAAGCCGAAAAGTTATTTAATGTTTTTTTTGTGTATGCCGATTTTACAAGTACATGTAAATTTATTACAAAAGTGCCCTGTTATCCCATGATCTAGGATATCTTTCTGTCTTTAGCTCTAAATTGACAGATTTTACTGAGCAGTTTAGTGCATTTTTTCCTTCTCGTGCAGCAAAGTCTGCTGGAGTAGGGGAAAAAAAACACTCGATGGCAAAAATAGAGCATTTAAAACGCAAAAGTAACCCACTAGGAGTAAATGTGTGCTTTGGTTTGAATTTTTTTTCTGTATCAGAGAAATAAACGTTAAAACACAAATCTCAGCAAAATCTGACCTCTGCAAAAAAATAATTTAAAAAAAGTCCATGTTGGATCATATTTCAATAACATGGCTTAACAGTACAAACCATTTCTGTCCCAGTACAGTTTGTAAATATAATTCTGTTAACTGTAGGCAAATAAATATATGATTTGGTAGTTTTTGATAAATAGCAAAAGTTATGTGAACTGCGTAAAATCTTTTATGTATCATAAATTGGTGTGTTACGATATCTAATGTGTCCTATATGAGGGCTGAAATAACACTAACACATTTTTAATACTCTTAAAAATACCATTAATAGACTCGTTGACATATTATTGGATGATTGCAGCTGCAGATATCTAACAAGCCCGGAGTTTAACTACTATTATAGCACTTTACAGAAAAAAGTGCATGACTTGCAGCAGCATCTTTCTAGATTTTAACCATGATTACATTAGGTCTTAATGAACATATAAGTTTGCTTCTGGCATAACATTTTTAAATAGTATTGTTTTTTTCACAACATAAAGCACACAATCCATAATTTTAAATAATTACGTCCTTCTTGTTGTTGCTCAGTTTTTGTGTCTAAGTCTGCTTATCTGGTGTTGTTGTTTTGGATGTGAATAATGGACCATAATCCAGTTCATAAAAGAAATAAGAAAGTAACAAAACTGTTGTCCTTGTTGATAACATACCGGGTTATTGGTAATGACACCTTGTTACTGCACTTTATACTTTATTTCACAGCCAACTGGAAACCCGGAAAGACTTGACTCTTGGCCAGCAAGAGCGAGTGACTGATAATGAATTATTATTGCTATCACCTGAATTCAAATGTAGGCTAAAGTTTCACATTGCCACTAAAGACACAAAATATATAATGTACTGAGTGAGCTTAAAAACAAGATGAGCAAAGATGCCCCTTCAAATATAGTCTTTGCATATTTATTTAGAGTAGAAGAAGCGCACTCAGATAGTCTATTTTCCTGCTTGACCCATGTGTTGTAGTTGTAATTTAGTACTTATATGACTATGAAAAAACGTTTGTAATCCTGGTTCCGTCTTACGCTATTGTCTCTGCAGCTCCAGCTGATGGATTTGGTTTGAATCAGGGTTGAAACTGGGATTGATGTGGTTCCCATCTATCCCTGTATTCCTTGTACTAAGTAAAACGTGCAACATTTTAACTTGATTGGAGTTAAAAACAACCATTATTTTCATTACTGATTATTCTGCCTGTTGTTTATTGTGTTTTAGTCCCTAAAATATTTTGAAAAACCCTCATCAAATTTC